ACAGTGTCTTGGCGCAAGACACACAAAAGATATTGCATTTTTGAAGGCGCTGACAGAACTTAGAATCTAAAGAAAAGTCCATTTCAGGTCAATTCAAAGATTTTGTTGTACAGGATTAAGTACAAGTAGGAAGATGGTAGATTCATCTTGCTCTAAAGTTGCCTCGCCAAACTACAAATTCCATGATTCTATAGCACTGAGCCATGACAATTAAAGTGATGTGAAACTGCATTAAGTCTACAGTGATGATGCACCTCAGGTCTTTAGTTTCCTGCTTTCACTTGCTGTGAGCATATTATAACATACTACTGCAGTATACAAAATTGCATTGCCGTTTTACTGGAAAATCATCAAGATTTTACAAGACACAGGCAATATGCAGAAAAAGTGAGCCCTGATTACATCCGATTCCATTGCTTTGGTTGGGGTGTGCAAAAATCAAAAGGATTGTCCTACTGATGCATCTCTGTTTCCCTATAAAATTCCAAGAAAACTCACCAGAGGGTTGCTGTGAGTTTTCCAGGCTGTATGGCCATGCTCTAGAACAGTGGTTCTCAACCTGTGGGTCCCCAGATGTTTAGGCCTTCAACTCCCAGAAATCCTAACTGGTAAACCAACTGGGATTTCTGGGAGTTTCAGGCCAAAACACCTGGGGTCCCACAGGTTCAGAATCACTGCTCTAGAAGCATTCTCTCCTGACGTTTTGCCCACATCTATGGCAGACATCCTCAGAGGTTGTGAGGTCTGTTGGAAACTAGTCAAGTGGGGGTTATATGGAATGCCCAGGGTGGGAGAAAGAACTCTTCTCTATTTGTGGCAGGTGTGAATGTTGAAATTGGCCACCTTGATTAGCATTGAACAGCCTTGCAGCTTCAAAGCCTGGCCTGAAGCTCACAGCAATCCACTGATTCTAGCCATGAAAGCCTTCAACAACACAAATCTACAACACAAATCTACCAGAGTCCATTTTTTGTGTATCCCATAAGGGTATAGGGGGAAGTGGGGGGCAGAAAGTCCTTGGATGGTCCCAACATGAAGTTGGGCTTCAGTCCTATAGCTATGTATCCTGAAGTAAGTGTAGCTGTGTTCAGTGGACTTAGTTCCAGGTAAATATAGGAATAATGTGATCTTAACCATAAGCAGCTAGCTCCAGACTGTCTTATACTGTATGTGCAGTAAGCAGTGTATTCCATATGTTTCTAAAACTCATAACTTGATGCCCATTCACACTATACAATTATGATGCCATTACTTCACTTTAACTGTCATGGCAACACCCTCAAACTTTCTGGTTGAGGTTTCTAAATGCTCCTCTCTAAACTCCAAATCCCAGAATTCCACAGGATGAAACCATAGCAGTTGAAATGGAATAATACCACTATAATCACAGTGTGGTTGGGCCCCTGCTCTTCTCCTATGGAATTCAAAGGAACATATACAATATATTCTGTGTTCTCTCACAACATCCCTATGGAGTATTTTTTTGAAAAATACATATTTTAAGACTTAGTCAATAATTGATTGAAACAATCTTAACTTTTAAACTTACAAACTTTAAAATCCTAACAACTTTTAAATGCCTGGGATCAACAATTTAAATATATTTCAGATGCAAGAAACTAACTTCATAGAGGCAACTGGAGCATTCACCCACTAGGAGCGCTCAGGAGAATTACAGAGAACGTGGAATGTGTCCAAAGGAGAATACCAAAATGGCAAAGGTCTGGAAGCCAAGCCCTATGAAGAGCTGAGTATGTTTAGACTGGAGAAGACAAGGTCAAGACATGATAAGCATGCTTAAATATTTGAAAGGATGTCATAGTGAGAATGGGACAAACTTGCTTTCTGTTGCTCCTGAGATTACGGCATGGAGCAATGGATTCAGACTGCAGGAGGTTAAGCCACTAACCTGCAGAACTTGCTGACCAGAAGGTCAGTGGTTTGAATACGCGGGATGGGGTGAGCTCCTGCTGTTAGTCCCAGTTTCTGCCAACCTAGCAGTTTGAAAACATGCAAAAGTAAGTAGATCAATAGGTACCACTTTGATAGGTAGGTAACAGTGCTCCATGCAGTCATGCCAGCCACATGACCTTGGAGGTCTCTTCAGCTAAATTAAGGTGAGCACTATCCCTCTGAGTCGGATTAGACTAGCCAAGGAGAAACCTTTACCTTTACCTATGGTAAAACATGCCAAACGTATATTATGATTTTCCTCTCTTACTCATACATGAATCCAGAGATATCCACTGAAACTAGTAGAAGATAATGCTGTGGAATCAGCTGCTACATTTGCTTGATACTAGTTTAGATGGTATTAAAAGGATGAGAGACTAGGTCAGTCACAATTGCTAAACGGAAGCTTCAGGCACAGTATGACCCAACACCAGTTTAGGAGATGGCAGGCAGCAGAAGAAAGTATTTGCCTCCATGTGGGTCTTCAGCATTTATTTGATTCACTACTGCTGGAAAATGGGAGGACCAACAGACAAACTTTCAAGTCTGTCCCAATATTCTTTAAGCAAATAATGAATTTGTGTCCTCTTTTCTCCATGAGTTACATTTGAACTGCTCACACATAAGGCAAAAATAAATAGATCAGAACAGCTAAAAGAAGTGAACTGATTATATCTGGAGACATTCCAGAAAACACCGACTATACAAGCATATACACGAAAGAGAAGAGGGATAAATATTGCAATTGAGTCACAAAGGAGTCTCCCCAAGACAATTAATTCTCTGCTGTCTGCTTCCACTGCCAGTGATGTTTGTGCTTAATTCCAGGTGTCTGACTCAATACTAGTTACACAGATGGAGATCCATTTTCTTATATTTGTCATGCTGTATGCGATATAACAGCAGTGATAGCATCAAAGCAGCTGGAACAATAGAATAACACAGACATCATTTCTCAATTAAATTACCGGAGAAAAATAACACATTATAGTTCTTGAAAAACATGACTTGACATACTCCAGGGCCAGGCGGTTTAAGCAAGGCATCCCTCTGCTTTTGTAGCTTTCACTAGAGTTATAAGGTCCAACATTCAACAATACCTGCATCTGTGCCTTCAAATCACCTGTCAACGTATGGCAACCTGCTGAATTCCATAGGGTTTACTTAGGGGGAAAAGTACTCAAGAGGTTGTTTGCCTGTTCCTTCTTTGAAAATACAGCCTAGATTAGGTTAGAATATTTCATTGGCTTGCTACACAAGATCCTGCTAACTACCTTTGTCTGCAATTGCCAAAGAATTTTTTATTCATGTTTTCCCGAGGAATCTCCAAGGCTCCACTAGATGTTGAACATAGAGTTGCACAGAAAGACCTGGGGATTCCTGCAACCACAGTTCAATCAAACATGGAATTCTGATTGTACTTTTACACATCAACACACACACACACACAGCTAGGATGCAAACTATAACAGCATTGTCTCATATTTACTAGATGTTCACAAAATAAAACTGTGTGCTTCAAGAAAATTGTGTGTTGTTAGATTTTTTCTTTCTTTTTTGGTCTCATTTAAACAAGACATTTAATACAAATGGCTACGCTCTGGCCTTTGAGATGGTGAAGTCCAAAGCCTTCGTAGGCATGCCCATAAATGTAAGAAAGAAAGAAACCATCCCATCTTTATGGAAGCAAGTTTAAGTGAGGCACTTGCCCCGCTCGCATGACCCCTTTCAAGTGTCCATGCATACTATTTTAACCTATACAGGGCCTTGAAGGAGTAGTCACATATACCTCACCCCAGATGTGTTACAATATGGGATAGAAATGGATTGAAAAGTAGTGAAGTGTTGAATATCTTGTGTACATTAAGGGCTAACAATTAAATTAAATTCTAGACTATAATGCAGCAAAATGTGGAAAAATCCAAGGGAATAACTTCCGCAAAGCAGGGTGTGTAAACTTAGTTAACTCCTAATAGTCCTGATTAGCTTTTCAAATGATGGAACCTAGAAATTGCAGAAACTCAGGAGAACTACGCTGAAATAAACATAAAAAATAATGATTAAGCATGGGGTTTTCCTTGTAGATAATCTTTGCCTTTTTATACTAACATGCACTCAGCAAAAAGGTTATGACTTAGGGTCTATATAGGTTAACAAAAGTAGATATATGTAAATAATAAAATGAAGCATTAATGTGTCAAACTGTTGGTACAACTTCTGTCAAAAAATAATCCAATATTAGTCCTACCCAAAGATGTACTGAAGTCAATGCTTAAATTAGCTGTAACTTAACCAGCCACTTATTAATCGTGAATTTTAAAGTTGTGTCCTGTTTTAATGCATGTTTTATATTTTAATATGTTATATAAATATGTTTTAATATGTGCATTGATAGACTCTTTACAATTTTTATGTATTTTAACTATGCTGTAACCTGCAAAGTTTATTATATTATATTATTGATTACACCAGTGGTTCTCAACCTGTGGGTCCCCAGGTGTTTTGGCCTACAACTCCCAGAAATCTCAGCCAGTTTACCAGCTGTTAGGATTTTTGGGATTTGAAGGCCAAAACATCTGGAGACCCACATGTTGAGAACCACTGGATTACACTATTAGTTAAGGACAACAAGTTACAATATGGCATCAATGAGAGCTCCACCTATTGGGAAAGCCTGGGAAAGCATAAATAGCTACACGAGAACCAGTGACCCTTAAGGCAGAAGCAGCCATATTTACTTTCAAAATCAGATGAAGAGTGTAACGTTTACATAACGTTCTATCTACTAAGCGACAAGAAGGCAGGAAAAGTGAAATAGCGTTGCATATAACTGAGAAATGTTTGTATCCTTCAAGTAGAATATTAACTCATTCCATCTGAACTTTTTTTACAACTTAAAAAACAATTAGAATGGCATATTGACACCACAGAATGCAACTAATCCTATTCGTCATCCTTGGAATCAAACTGAAGACTCTGAAACACTTAAATCCCACAAGTAACTTTTAATAGATCTGAATCTATTCAGGATACTTTCAGACCAGACAGAAATGAAGAACTACTTTATTGGCTGCAGAATAGAACATTTCAACTCAATAAATATTGATCCCAAACACATAGTCATTTAGGACAAGGACAAAGTAGGTCCCTGAAGAGTGTAATGGAATGGGACGGAGAGATGCTACTTCAAGATGCATCCTGTAAAATGAAGTCATTTGTTTTTCTTCGGCATAGCAGCCATGAAGAGCACATAAAGGGCGTAGCCTGTCCCTGAAGATAAGAGACAAAACGTTAGTTCACATTAAGTGTACATGCTTTATCCAGCTGCAACTTATTTGCATAAACTCACCTACAAGATAAATATGAATGAAACTTTCTTCCTCTACTAACAAGATCAATGCCAACCTGTTTCACCTCTTCAGGTTAGGAGCTGAAGACAAAACCCTACTCCCAGCAGCAGTAAATGAAATGGACACAGCACTGAGTGCAACTACACTGTAGAATGAATGCAATCTTGACACTGCTTTAACTGCATTGACTCAGGAATTATGGGGGTTGTAGTTATACAACATCTTCAGCCTTCTCTGTCAACAGTGCTGGTGCTTCACCAAACTACAACCCCAGGATTCCATAGCATTGAGACATGGCAGTCAAAGTGGAGTCAAAATGAATTAATTCTACAATGTAGATGCACCCCCAAAGAAAATGCATAAAGGTGTAAGAACATACATTCATTTATTATCTACAAAATGTGCAACATTGCTCTGCCTAACAATTTATTTTTTATTTCATCTTCAAGAATTTTTGCCCAAGTTTCAGAAGACAAATCTAAGATATGTGCTTTCTCAAAATTATATATGATATATATATGTCAGTATATATAGCATATAAATTTGAATGAAAAGCTCGACTTTTACCCATTTTATTATTTATTTACAGTATTTGTATACCGCTTTTCTCACCCCAAGGGGGACTCAAAGCGGTTTACCTACTAAATACAATAAGGCCTTTGGTTCCCTTGCCATGGACATTTTATAGACCAGAATGACGAAAAACAAGATAAATGCAAAGCATTCTTATTAAAAGTATCCGTTTGTCAGGTTATTTTATCCATTTTTTATCCATAAGCACCAAGTCCTCTGACATTTTCATGTGACATGCAAATTAATTTGTATATTATTAGCTCATCTAAAAATGGGAACATTTCTAAATTACTGTTACAGATTTATACAAAAAAAGTTATCAGAGAGGACTGATAGGTCAATTCCAACTTTTGTAAATCTTACCAACTATAGACAGGCTCATGGTTATCCGATACAGAATTGTATCCATCAATCCACCTTTTAGGTATACTGGAAGGCCATTATCTTCCTAATAACAGAGAAAGACAAAAAATCAAATTGTGCAAGTGGAGTTATATAAGGAATTAACATGTAATCAATTCAAGCTAACCTGCTCACTAGATATCACCACTAGAACTCACATTCTAGAATAAGAGTGCAAGTTTTAATTGTAGGAAAGTATAGCATTATTATAAACTAACTCAGAAGGTTCTTTGTGAGCACCCAACAGCTAAAGGCCTAATTTTTCCTAACTTCATTGATGATTCACCCACACAACTTAGTTGCATTTGTGGCCACACACAATTAATATTATGAATTCCAAAACATTTTGTAACTATACTAGCAATCAAACTGTATAGGCTTAAAAGTCTGATCCAAGCAGGCAGCCTTCAGTTTAAACAACATTATTGCTGTTAAATATTTTCATTTGGTTCCTAAAGGGAGGAATAAGTATTAAATTCACATTCTTATTCACTCTCAAGGTAGAAGTGCATTAAATACCTGGAAAAGTTTCTGGTACTCTGGAACCCTGTTTGTGATCTGCCTGCGAGGGGCAGTGCTTATGGCTTTTTGGGAAATCTGTCGAAGAGCCTGCAAGAGAAATGCAATTTGGAAAAAAAAATGAATGAATTTCTATGCACACTGCACATATCTTATTTGTAATGAAAAAAATCACTTAAAAACAATAAATAATTAAAATGAAGAACAATTTTAACAAATATAAACTTATTAGTATTTCAATGGGAAGTGTGAGCCTGCTTTTAGCTGATGAGATAGGATTGCTATTGTTGTGTGCTTTCAAATCATTTCAGACTTAGGTTGTCTCTGAGCGAGGGCTGGGTACATGACCTTGGAGGGCCATATCCAGCCCCTGGGCCTTAGTTTGGGGGTCCCTGTACTAGCCAGTTAATCCTCTCTAGAGAGTCATGCATTATTTTGTTTTTCTAAAGTTACATAACAGTTTCCTTACCGAAACCATTCACAAAATTACAATTTAATTTGACGATCAACTGTGAGCCTTTTTACTTCTTTTGTAACTTTTCAGGTTCCCATGTTTGCAAAATAAAAACAAAGGGGATTGAAATTGTTAAAACTCTGAAGGGGGGGGGGGGACCGCAATCAAAAACAGGTACCAAAACATGCCAGTTACATTATCCATCACATCATTAGACTATGTAATATTTCCAGTCTTTCTAATAATTAATTCATGCATCACTTAGGCTGATAGAGGAGGAAAAGGGGAGATAGTAGCAGTGCTTAAAGAGACCAATTTATTTCAAAATATTTTTGAAGATTTCAAACTACATCTAAAGTAAGTCTGAACAAGTGAAGTAAAATCCTAGAAGTCCTAAAATAACCGTCTGCTCTCCAAAATGCTGAAAATTTATTTATTTCACGTCAAAAGCATTGCATAAATAAATAAGTATAAAACTGATAAAATAAAGGGAGCACAAGCAGCTGAATAATTTTTGACCAAAAATGGGCAACAGACTGAATTGTCTGTAGCTTTAAACAGTTCTTCCTATGTGCATGAGGTAGGGCATTGTGGACAAGCATACAGATGTTGAGTTGTTTTTTCTGCTCCACAGTAGCACAAAGTGGAGGATTCTTCTAGGTCGGTGGTTCTCAACCTGTGGGTCCCCAGGTGTTTTGGCTTACAATTTACCAGGTGTTAGGATTTCTGGGAGTTGAAGGCCAAAACATCTGGGGATCCATAGGCTGAGAACCACTGCTCTAGGTAGTCTCATTTAGCCAGGTGGAAATGATGCGCATGCTATTATTTTCCTTTCAAAGCTCAAGCAGCCTTTGACTATCTCTACACTGTAACTTAACAAAGGTTGGCTGTCCTGGCTCCACACTACAGTATCAGGGGAGTTTAGGTTGGTGAGTCATCAGAGCTTTTCGGCAGAGAAAGCTAAAGACCTTGTAAAACTGCAACTCCCAGAATTTATCAGAATTGAGCCACATTCATTAAAGTGGTGTCAAACTGCATTAACAGTGCAGATTCACCCTTATCCATGTTATGTTTTACATGTTTAACTGGTTTTAATTTGTAATGTATATGTTTAATTGATTGTAATGGTTAATTGTGTATGTTTTGTTTGATTTTTGTATAATTGTGGCATTGAATATTTGCCAAAATTGGAAGCCGCACAGGTTGAGATAAAGTGGCACAGAAATAAGATAAATAAAATAAATTAAACTGTGAGTTGCAGGATAGGGTTCAGCCATGTGGATTGTTTAAAGTTCAGAATGACACAACCATCATCAGCATTCTCTGATTAATTATGTAACACAATTTTGTTCCTGGGTTATAAATGTCATTTCCTAATTGGTTCTATCATAAAAACATGGAAAAGTTTTATTATTTTTGCGGGACATTCTACAGGTACACATGTGCTAATTATACTTGATATAATTAGTACCTATTTTAATTTATGGTTTGTTTTGAGTTATATTCAATATGTTTTGTGATTCATGTTTCTTATTATGTTCTATTCTATTTATCATTTGTCTTAATTTCTAATGTATTATGTGCTTATTATTATTTTGTGTATTATTTGAGTCCCCCTGGGGAGATTGGGCAAAATATAAATAAAGTTATTAATTTATTTGTATTGCTTTGCCTTGTTGTAAGCCACTCCAAGTCCCCTAGGGAAGAGGAGCGGGATATAAATAAAGATTATGATGATTATGATTATTAGGACAGCACATTTTGCTATAGTTTTTCAATGAATATCTCATCGAGTATCAACTAATTCAACATAGTTTGTGGCAACCAGGAACAGATTCCCCCCCCCCCCAAATATTGTAACATAAGCGTTATGCTTCCAGTTATTCACAGAATCATAGAGTTGGAGGAGACCTCATGGGCCATCCAGTCCAACCCCCTGCCAAGAAGCAGGAATATTGCATTCAAAGCACCTCTGACAGATGGCCATCCAGCCTCTGTTTAAAAGCTTCCAAAGAAGGTCCATGAACTGGTCTGCTCTCAACACAACACATGAACTGGTCTGCTGGGACATATCTTCCTTTTTTGTGTAGATTTTGCCCAGTGCTTTTAGATGTTTGTTGTTTTTTATAAGGATGCCTTCATTTTCTCCAGCTTGAAGCTCTTTAGATTCAATGCACTACAAAACCCAATAACTCAAGAAAACTTGGCCTACTTTAGGACTGTAATAAGAAATAAAATATACTTGACATGAACTACAGAATACTGACATGGTCAGCTCCATTTGTGCCATTATGTATGTGGTATAACTTTTTTACCACTGGAAAAAGTATGCAATTTATAGCTTATGAGGCACCCGAACAGATGGCCATCCAGTTTCTGTTTAAAAGCCTCCAAAGAAGGTGCCTCCACCACACTCCAGAGCAGAGAGTTCCACTGCTGAACAGCTCTCACAGTAAGGAAGTTCTTCCTAATGTTCAGGTGGAATCTCCTTTCTTGTAGTTTGAAGCCATTGTTCTGCACCCTAGTCTCCAGGACAGCAGAAAACAAGCCTGCTCCCTCCTCCCTATGATTTCCCCTCACATATTTATACATGACCATCATCATGTCTCCTCTCAGCCTTCTCTTCTGCAGGCTAAACATGCCCAGCTCTTTAAGCTGCTCCTCATAGGGCTTGTTCTCCAGAGCCTTAATCATTTTAGTCGCTCTCCTCTGGACACATTCAGGTATCAAAACAACCACAAATTGCCATAATCCGCATGACAGAAACAACTGCATTTGGAAGTGAAGGCTAGAAACCTTTAAAAAGCTTAAATCCTACTATTCCATGGCACTTAAAGAGTTATAAACTGCACCTGTTCTAATGTTCCCTTTCTCTTGGGAAAACCAGCTTAAAAGCCGCCAGGGAACGGCAGGAGGCCCTTGTTCTCGAGTGCCTTCAAGGCGTTCCTAAAGCGACCTATCCAAGGAGTTTGCTTGGAAGGATTTGTCCTGAGGCGGAGAAAGTGTGACTCGCCCAAGTGTGACTCGACTTTCCTCATCACACTAGAGAAAAAGATCCACTTAAAATCTGTTTTTTGCCTCCTGCAGAATTTTGGGGAATTTTGCAGAATTCTGGGGTTTGTAGTTTAGTGAGGCTTAATTGCCTCACAAAACTACAAACCCCAGAATGCGCAGGAAGCAGAAACCGTATTAAGTAGTTGTTTTTTCTCTAGTGGGATGAAGTTCGCTGAGTGGCTTTCCATGGCTGAGCAGGGACTCGACCCCCGGGGTCTCCAGAGCCCCAGTCCAAGGCTCAAGGCACTAGGCCAGGCCACGCTGCCTCTCTAACGGGCCTCTGGGCAGAAACTCCCCTTCCTTTCGCTCTGGCGGCTCTCTGGGTCTCCTTCCTGACCAAGGCGGCCCTCTCTCCTCTCCTCTCCTCGCCCTTCCCTACCAGAAGGTTTCGCAGCATCTTGGCCGCTGCTCCGTTCACCGCCTCGTCCGCAACGTACGAAACAAGGGCACCGGAAGCGGAAGTTACTCCACGGCCCGGCTCGCGCCCGCTTGACGTCCCACTGGCGCCCCTTCAGGGTATGCGTAGGAATGGAGCGAACTTCCGGCCAGAAGCTAAGGTTCCATCTAGCCTTCCTGTTTTCCATGGCAACTGTGCTGTTGGGAAGGCGCTCTGGCCTTCTCCACGTCTATGGCGTTAACCCTTTCGCCTCCTCAAATTTGCACTTGGGGCGGAGCCATTGAATGACCTGGTGCTCTGAGTCATCTGTTTTGCAGCCCAGCCTCTCTTAACTCATACGCAAGGCACACGGATTGGAAATCAATTCGCTTTCAACTTCTACACTGTAAAAATGATGCATTGGGCACCACTCTTAACTGCCACGGCTTCCTAAGGAATCATAGAATCAAAGAGTTGGAAGAGACCTCATGGGCCATCCAGTCCAACCCCCTGCCAAGAAGCAGGAATATTGCATTCAAAGCACCCCTGACAGATGGCCATCCAGCCTCTGTTTAAAAGCTTCCAAAGAAGGAGCCTCCGCCACACTCCGGGGCAGAGAGTTCCACTGCTGAACGGCTCTCACAGTCAGGAAGTTCTTCCTCATGTTCAGATGGAATCTCCTCTCTTGTAGGAATCCTGGGAGTCTTTATATGGTCTTTAGCCTTTAGCCTTCTCCTCCAAAAAATGCTGGGGCCTCGCCAAACTACAACTCCCAGGATTCCACAGCATGGCGCCCTGGCACTGACAGTGGTCTCAAACTGCATTAATTCTACGGTGTAGCTGCATCCCGAGTCTGCTCAGTTGTTATAGATTCAGGGCTGTGTTTCCCTGCCTTCTGGAATGTGTCTTCCCCCTTTCCTGCTGCCTTCCACCTTAAATCAAGCATTAGGGCCTTTTCAAGGGAGGCATCTCTTCTCATCTTATAACTAAAGTATGACACTCTCATTATTGATGGATTTCCCCTGAAGTCTTATTGATATTGTTTGGTCAGGTAAAGGTAAACAAAGTCCAGTCGTGTCCAACTCTGGGGGGTGGTACTCATCTCCATTTCTAAGCCGAAGAGCCAGCGTTGTCTGTAGATGTCTCCAAGGTCATGTGGCCAGCATGACTACATGAAGCGCCGTTACCTTCCCACTGGAGCGGTACTTATTGATCTACTCACATTTGCATGTTTTCGAACTGCTAGGTTGGCAGAAGCTGGGGCTGACAGTGGAAGCTCACACTGCTCCCCGGATTTGAACTTGCAACCTTTTAGTCAACAAGCTCAACAACTCAGCAGTTTAATCCACTGTGCCACTCGTCAGACGTTGCATTATATCCTTTAACTGCTTTTACTCATCTCCCTCTTAGATTTTCATTCCCTAGGTAAAGCACAGACTCAACATTTGGATTTTGTCATTTGGGAGTTATAGTTGCTGTAACTGATAGTTAACCTACAATCAAAGAGTATTCTGATCTCCACCAACGATGGAATTGAACCCAACTTGGCACACAGAACTCCCATAACCAACAGAAAATGCTGGAAGAGTAATGGGTATAGACCTTGAGTTTTGGAGTTGTTGTTCACCTACATCCAGAGAGAACCGTGGACTCAAACAATGATGGATCTGGACCAAACTTGACACACACACCCAACGTGGCCAACTTTGAATACTGGCTGGGTTTGGGAAGGACTGACCCGTGATTTTAGGAGTTGTAGTTCATCCACATCCTTATGCATTTTCTAATGGGAGCATTAATAAAAAACAAAAGGAAAGTCTGATTTTTTTTCTCTAATAAATAGCATTACAAATTACTTAAGATGCTTCTGCTGCTGCTCTTCCTCCTGATCCTGCTGGGTCACTCTCAGTCCCACGTCGCGCGGCTCTTTCTCCCCTGCCTTGTAGGGACTTGCTGGTGTGAGCCTCCCTCCAGTCTCACATGCCCTCCCTTGCCCGCACATGCGCACCACGCTTCCATGTGCCAAGCATGTCTGCTCTCCCCTCCTTGCTTGGAATCTCAAAAATAGTCTCCCCTCCTTGCTTTGAGTCTCTCCCCATGGCTGAGAGGCCATCTCATTTTGGATTAAAAAGAAGGATGCTGTGAATCATGTCACTACTTCTTTGGTAGAGGCTAAAAACCTAGAATTCCCAGGATTCCATAGCATAGATCCCATGACAGTTAATGTGGTCTCAGATTACATTAATTCTACAGTTAGATGCATCATAAAGTATCTTTTCCATCTCATAATGTACTGCTTTCAACAGTGGTCATTTAAGCTGAATTTAATTGGTTTGTGGCAAAGCTGTTACCTGGAAGGGTGGCAGGAGGGGGGGGGGGTCCAGCAGAAGTTTTACAATTCCACAATATTCTGCGTGATTACCTTTCATCATAAGCAATTTAATTCTCAGAATACCAATATGTAAATAGAGGCACAAAAGGAAACAGAAGTGCCTGACATCATACTAAGCAAGGAAGCCTTTGACAAATGGATGCTCACATATCTATACTAGCGTGAGTTAATTAATAGTTGGAAATGGATAGGAAAGCACCACTGTGGTGTGTAATTAATTAACTGACGCAAGCATCCTGAGAAACCAGTTCTCCTTCAGTTTGATGCTATAAAGATTCCTTGAAATCCATTTGTAAAAAAAGCAGAGAACTGGAAGACCAGGATGCTCCCTGTCAAGCACCATACATTTGCATATAAAAAGCTGTAACTTTCAATCTCAGAGATCTGCACAAAATGGATTGGATGAGCCTTGGTTTAGGAGGGTCACCTTGCAACCACACCAGAAATGTTTTCAGTGATACATGGCTGCTTCATTACTGTCCAATTGAAATCTTTTTATATTTTCTTCTGACTCAGTTTCTCAAAACTGAAATTTAAAGCTAACACCTGCATAAGCTTGCTTTAAAAACAATTGGATTTATTGATTTACACTATGAATCAGGAAGTTCATTAGAAAAACAATTTTAAAAACTATGCAAGCTTTCCATCAACATCTCCAAGAGCTAAATAAATAAGCTTTTCTGAGATGTTTTAGTCATTTTAAATTTACTTGCAAGTTGGCCAAAGCAGTGGGACTACAATTGGGGTAAAGACACATTTTCATGATTTTTAGAGCCGCTGCAAACTAGCGTCTTGGGAGAGCAAACTGTGCCAGCACGACCGATGACGTCGAAGACTCCGCCTCTTTCTCCGCCTCTTTCTCCGCGGCTGCGTGTTTTCTCTTTGCTAGGGCAGTGATGCGAGCGTACTCTCGCTGTTGAATTCTGTCAACAGCGAGAGTACGCTCGCATCGCTGCCCTAGCAAAGGGAAAACCATGCGGCCGCGGAGAAAGAGGCGGAGAAAGAGGCGGAGTCTTCGACGTCATCGGTCGTGCTGGCACAGTTTGCTCTCCCAAGATGCTAGTTTGCGGCGGCTCTAAGAATGAAATTTTTTTCAAGGCCAATAAAATAGTACTTACACAAAGATGCATTTCATGGTATTGAAAAAGAACAGAATTCAGCTATGTAAGAAGAATATATTTAGGCATGGCATTTCTTTAGGCATGATTTCTGGGCCAAAACATGAGATCAAGATATAACCATTATTATGTCACAACGTGGTGTCTTTAGGTATCAAACATAGTACACTACTATTCAAATCACACCATTTCCTTAGCCCTGGGGCTCCGTGAAGCATACTGAGGGGCTTTCTGGTTCCACCCCCCTCCCCTCCTCCAAGCTTTCTCTCCTCTTTCCTGCTCCTCTCCCTCCCCCCACCTCTCTTGCTGCCAAAACCCCTTTTCCCTCGGCCCCCTTGCTACCAAAAGTATTTCTCCTTGCTTCCTTTGCCGCCAAAAGCCTTTTTCTCTCCCACTGCTCAGGGAGTGCTTTGATTGTGCTTTTCCTGAATGGCAGAAAGGAGTTGAACTGGATGGCTCCTGGAATTGCTCATTTTACTATTTTATTATTAGTATTAATATTATTACAAAGGCCGAATGGCCATCTGTTGGGGGTGCTTTGATTGTGCTTTTCCTGCATGGCAGAAGGGGGTTGGACTAGATTACACTTGGGTTTTCTACCAAAATATTGGTAAGTTTCTGTTAGCTAAAATTATTCATTTTATATATTGTATTGTTCCTTCTTTCTTTTTGTTCTACAAATGAGATATGTGCAGTGTGCATAGGAATTTGTTCATTTTTTCCAATTAGTTCACACAAACACTTTCCATCCATCTGCCACTGATCCAGCCCATCTGTCAAATTTTAAAACACAATGTGTCAAAAAGTTTGCCCAGGCCTGATTTTTATATGCATTATATATAATATAATATATAGACATTTCTTGGGGTTCCACGAGAAACTTTTGCTTCAAAAAGGGCTCTCTAGCTGAAAAAGACTGAGAACCCCTGGGTTACAGGAACATCTAGGAGTGGGTATTATGCCCATATTGAAGTCACTGGTTGCCAATTTGTTTCCAAGCAAAGTACAAGGTGTTGGTTTTGACCTTTAAACCCCTATATGGTTTGGTTTCAGCTTACCAACAGGATCATCCCCAAATCTGCTCCTTAAGACACTAAGGTCTTCTGGGGGGTTTCTACTCCATTCCAGAAACTGACTGGCAGTTGTCACCCAGAGGACCTTTTCATAGGCTGCACAGCTGGACATATCTCCTTCAACCTACCTAGTCAATTTTAATCTGTGAATTTTAATCTGCATTTTTTTAGTATTTGTGTCCATCTTTGTTATGTGTATTTTAATAGTATTATATTTTATCTGTCTGTTTTAACCATATTGTACAGCTCCCCAAGGAGAAGTGGATAACAAATAAAAATGGTTGTTGGTTTGCTGTGAGTTTTTCAGCCTGTATGGTCATGTTCCTGTAGCATTCTCTCCTGACATTTCACCTGCAAGTGTGAATGTTAGCAAGCTTGAATAGCATTGAGTCACCATGAAGCTGCAAAGTCAATCATGGCTACTCCATGCTATTCAATCTTGCTAATTGCAATGTTCACACTTGCTTTAAACAGACCAGGGTTCTTTCTCCCACCCTGGACATTCCACACACACACACACTCCACTTGCCTCCCC